GGTTTTGACCTTAGGCTTAGTTTTGACATCAGGTCAAGTTCACTACACAGTGAACTATATGAAATGGGGACGTTTGAAAGAGTTTACTCCAGTAGTTCTCCTGAAATACTGATTATGCGATTTTAAAATGGTATGCACTCAATGTAGTGCACTCAGTTGAATTTGATGACAACAATGTAGAAGCTTTTTTTGCATATTTTAGTAAATATATGTTCATATTTCAAAATGATCAGAATATTGAATCCAAAATAGCTCCTTCACAGCTCCTTTTCTTTTTTCACCACTCGCTCTCGTGCAAGACGGACGCCTTTCTTCCCTCTCCGGTCCTCCTCCTGCTTTTTCACTCTCTGTCTGTGTATCAGAGCTCCTATTTACACATCTTCCGAAACGTAAACTATTGTCATGGATCTTGTTAGCTGGACTTTCAACTAAATAGATTTTTTATTTTTTTTTCAACAAAGCGACAGGGTCCTGGAGAACCCTCATGCCCCGCTGAGATTCACGTGGCAGGATACGTCATGGATCTGATGTGCCTTTCCGTATTGTCTCTGAAGGGGTTCAAGTGTGTTCGCTCCACAGACTCTTGAGCTCCTGCAGCAGAGTTAATCACGTTCAGCAGCTGGCCATCTCCCTAATTACCTCCAGGACCATAAGAGGCTGCAGACTTGCTTCATCCAGTGCCAGAGCATATCTTGCTGAGGACCTTGGTTTTCCCTGTGCCTCCAGTCCTGGATGTTTCATCACTACCTGTGAAATTGGTCTGTACCTACCTGAGCTCAAGCTTCTCCTCGTGGACTCTACCCAAACTGCTACACCTCCTACATTGGCCTCCATGCATCAACCTCTTGCTGGAAATAGGATTTAATATATCTCCACCCCGTGCCACTCCATCTGTCATTCCCAGTAAGAGGAATATATTTTTTCTATCCATCATATCATCCATCCTCCAACTAATAAGACTCTAATCGTCTCCTCTTTCCCTTCCAGGGGTCTCCAGTTTCAGCTCCTGTATAAAAGACTGTTTAATATTATTATCACTGTAAAATAAATCACTCTTTATTTTATGATCCTGAGTCTGTTGTCCTTCAGTCCGTTCTTCCTGGGTACACTCCGTCATTGTGACAGTCTCAGGAGGATGCCAAAGATATTGGAATCATGATAGCAGGGTGTCTGCTTTTTGGCACCGGCAGATACCTATGTTATCGGCTATTAAAGAAGACGGCGACAGCAGTTTCAGCCATGTTAAAGCTGCTGACAATGTCTGCAAGTTTAGTTGGTGCTTTGAGGACTCAAAATCAGCTGATTTGCGAGCTAAACCGTAAGCTGGAAGCGATTTTTGAGAATCACAGGCCACTTGTGTCTTCTGGGACTCGCTATCATGTTGGGGACGACCTTGAAGGGAGCTAATAAGCACAGGCCAGTGGAATGCCTACAAATGTGGCCATTTTGGATTTAAAGTACCAGCAGAACTCAAGGCTGACGAGAAATAACAGCCTGCCTGAAAAAATCAACAGCTGTGGCTTATCTGAATCCAACTCCCCCGTTTGGCCTCTAAGCAGGCCAACTTATCAAATTTCTCCTGGGATATGTGTAAACTGAGAAAGCTGTCTATCACAACACCCCCACCTCGAGAACTTCTGTGAAGGCTTATCAGAAACTGTATCAACAGACACCAACATCTTATCAGGACTATGGGCTATCTGGAAGTTCTTCATGGACAAATCTCACTGCCTTGACGTCAATGTGTCTGTAAATGTGCTTTCTGGTAGAGTTTTTTTATATCTTAAATTGTGCCCTGATAGGACAAGGTGTGAAGAGGTCTTTTTTGTATACAACTATCCTCTCCTCATGACTTTTCCCATCTAAAAAGAATAAGAGGCGGTGCTGTTAGGAGTAGCAGCAACGTACACTCCGCCCATCTTTCGGACGACATACGAACATAATCTCACTGTATTTCGGGACAATGAAAATAAATCTTAATCTGATTCTTCTGATTTTGATAGATGCCGTCATTTTTTTACTTTTTTGAACACGTTGGCTGTTTCTGTAGATAAATAGGCGCAGGTTGGTGGCAGCTTACATTTCACTACAGTAACCATCAATGCGAGGTAGAAATTGTACAAATTTTGTTTCTTACTTTATTAATAACTTTTGACTTGTCGTCATGGCATTGCAGTGAGTACCTTCAAACATAAATTTTCGTGCACTACTTTTTAATAATTAACACTTTTCATTATTAGTTTAATCACTTATAGCAGCACTAATTATACACAAGAAACAGGAAGGTACTTTTGCCTTCCAGCTTGATTCATGGCTCAAAGCCTCTGCAGTTTGACGCTGTTTGGTTAACGGTTAACAAATCTTACCCCTGACTAATTGTCAATTCTGTTTTTTCATTATGTGGAATCACTAACCAACGTGGTTGGGGGAGTTAGTATATACATGTAACAGCTTACATAAATTAATTATCAAATAGATGCAACTGTTTTCCATTACAATTACATAATATATCACGTAATTAAAATTAGTAATAACAGTTACTTGAGAAAAATACACAATTACAATTTGTGTTACATCTTCTGTCAAAAAAACTATGCTATATTTTGACTATGCCGTATATTAGGTGCTTTTTTATGCACATATTGTTGTCATCTGTCAGACTTTAGGTGGAATTTATTGTATTATCAGACTCAGTATTGGACTGATGATGATGATGAACCCATGATGTTTGAAATTTTTCAAAGGATTTTGACAGAGATCACTGTGAAGTGTGGCTGTAAAATTATCAATGCAAACACTTAAAAGTGATTTATTGACACAATAGTTACTATAAAATCTAAATTTAGAAAAGTAATTGTTCAGTTTAATTCAACCTTTATTTATACAGGTTAGTCTCATTGAGACTCGAGGACTCATTTACAAGAGAGACCTGTTTTAAACAAAGAACACAGATGACAAAAGTAAACAATCATAAAAAAACATATAAAATGAAAAGTAAATGGAAGAAATTATATTTAAAAAACAGCTACATTATAAAGCAATATAAAATACTAAAAACAGGAACATGTCTGGTTTTTGCCATGAGCTAAAAGTAACTGAATGTAAAAACATAACTTTTATAAAGTATGCTAAATAGATTATCTTTCATTTGTGACTAATTACATTTGTAACATAGATTTCCTAAAACAAATATCCATTTTAATTATTAATCTTTATATAACCAGGCTAATTCCACTGAGATCACAGATCTCTTTGGTCCTGAAAGCAGCCCAACGTGCGTGTTTTTGGACTGTAGGAGGAAACGAGAAGAACATGCAAAGTGCCCACAGAAAACCCCAGTTACAAACCATAGATTGAACCCACAACCTTTTAGCTGTGAGGCAACAGCGGTAACCACTAAGCTATCGTGCTGTCAAGCTTATTGAAAAATTATTCTGATCAATTTGAGACTAATATTAATAAAATGTTTTTCTAATAAACAAAAAGGTTTCATGGGTGAATTATTTTTACTTTGTAATTTCCTACACAGTTATCACTCCAACATCTGAATCCAATGCAATGGAACTGCCATCAATTAAATTTGTCAAAGAAATGGTGAGAAACAATTCCTTTTCTCCGTATTACTCTATTTTTATTTTTTATTTTCAATTTGGAGTGGTATGTATTTAACTGGGGCAGCACGGTGGCGCAACTGGTAGAGCTGCTGCCTCTCAGCGAGCAGGTCCTTGGTTCAAACCCCGGTCCAGGGACCCTTCTGGGTGGAGTTTGCATGTTCTCTCCGTGCATGCGTGGGTTTTCTCCAGGTGCTCCGGTTTCCTCCCACAGACCAAAAAACATGCATGTTAGGCTGATTGGTGACTCTAAATTGTCCCTAGGTGTGAGTGAGAGAGTGAATGGTTGTTTGTCTCTCATTTTATTGCTTGTTTTTAAAGTCTTAAAAGGTCTGGCCCTGTCATATTTATGTGATCTCATTAACATCTACACTCCAGTAAGAGCACTCGGGTCTACCAACCAGTTCCTCTTAGATGTCCCCAGATCCAAACGTAAATCCAGAGGTGATCGGGCTTTTGCGGTTGCTGCTCCAAAACTGTGGAACAGTTTACCTGAGAATTTAAAGACCGCTCAGACTGTTGAGACTTTTAAATCTTTGCTCAAGACTCATCTGTATTCCTTGGCATTTCATCCACACAGAGTCTGAGAACAAGTTGAGCTGATTTTATTGTTGTTGTGTGTTGTTTTTACTGTCAACTTATGTTTTTGAGTGGCACTAGATGCATTTTTACTCTTTTTTTATTTTTAATCTGTCTTAACTGTAAAGCACTTTGGTCAGCTTTTGTTGTTTTTATGTGCAATATAAATAAATTGACATTGACATTGTCTCTATGTGGCCCTGTGATGGACTTGCGACCCGTCCAGGGTGTACCCCGCCCCTCGCAGAGTGATTGCTGGACATGGGCACCGGCGACCCCCGTGACCCAAAATGGAATAAGCGGGTAAAAGATAATGGATGGATGGACGTATTTAACTGCAAGGTGGCAAACAGCCCTGCTTCCCGTCTGATGGCTTCCATTCATCAGTTTGTCAAACAGACAAAACTGAAATCAGAGAGCACCTTTATGGAACTGAGGTATGAATGAGTGTGAGTGAATGGGTGAGTGTTGAGTGAATGGGTGACTTTGAGGTGTTGACTGTTTTCAGTCAAGACAAGAACTCCATTACTATAATTGATTTGGAATAAACCTTTGCTAGTTGGAATTAAAATGTTATGTATTACCGATTAGTACTCTTCATACTTCTTGTTGTCTCTAATAAGCACATGCAGCCTATTTTTCTATAAATATGCCGCTAAAACATAAGACAAAGAACATTGTTTGTGAGAAACTGTTTTCCTCACTTGTTTATTTGCCAACATTTGCAAATGTTTCTTGCGTTTCTTCCTCCTGAAACTGCTCCTTCTTCCTCTTCCTCACAGAACAAAAGAAACAGAATGCTGTGGACAGATGCGTCTGAACCTCGGTTATTATTGTCTCTACGAAGTAGGAAAACCACAGACAACCAGCTCAGTCAGAGATAATACCTGCCCTATTTTACAACAGATGTTGCATCCCATGTGTTGCTGCAACATCTGCACCAAAATCCAGGGTTTAGATATTAAAAAGGCAAACATTAAAGTTATGTGAGCATTTTGGTCTTAGATGTTTTGCTGCTGCACCCTGAACATTAACAAGTGGTGTCTAATAACTTTATTACATCCTGTTTTCACAGGCAGGGAGAAAAGCATGTAGCATTATCTAAAGCCAGAAAATATCACGACTGAAAGCCGAAGAGTCAACGATGTCTTGAGAGCTGGGATTACGCTCAAATGAGAACTTCAGTAATTGTTTCTGGTCAATTTAACTGAAATTGTAACCAAAACTATCTTCTTGCCTTTCAACAGCTATTTTCATGGGAAACAAAAAGAAAACTGTCAAATAAATAAACAGATTAAGAACCACACAAAAAAAATAACAAATAAAAATGTTCTACAGAGTTCAAGACTTCAGAATGCAGTAGTGAAATTAGGGGATGGAAGTGTTGAGAAACCTCCCAGTCGGCTGATTGTGCACACAGCTTCAACACAACTAAAGGAAGCAGTTGACTTCAGCTCAGACCACAATTGACTGAACAGAAGCTTCAGGTACGATCTTATTTTACAATATGTTAAACTCTACATGTATGTTTTAAATGTGTATTTAACTTAATCTGAGTGTAAAATTAATGGTTTATTTTAAAGGTTTTTCCTTTGTTTGTTTGTTCACAGAAACTTTTCCTCCCTCTGAAAGATAAAATGGAAGGGGAATATGATTACAACTATTATTCTTATGATAATATCACTGAACCTGAGCAAATCACACAACCCAGCCGAACCTGTTTACAAAATGGCACGTGCGTGTGTCTGATTGTCGTCACTGTGATCATTTTCCTGCTGGGCTTCTTTGGGAACGGTTTGGTCATCTGGATCTCTGGCTTCAAGATGAAGAAGACAGTCAACACCACGTGGTACCTGAGCCTTGCGATCTCGGACTTTCTCTTCTGTGCCTTCCTTCCGATCAACATCGCCTTCATGGTGATGGACGAGTGGATCTTTGGCCTCTTCATGTGCAAGTTCACGTCTTCGGTGATGTTCCTCAACATGTTCAGCAGCATCTTCCTCCTCGTTATCATCAGTATAGACCGCTGCGTGTCGGTTATGTTTCCGGTGTGGGCTCAGAACCACCGCACCGTTCAGAAGGCATCAGTGATGGTCGTCTTTGCTTGGCTTCTTGCCATTGGGCTGAGCTTTCCTTCAATGATTTATCGAGAGATCGGTACTTTTATGGATCGGACAGTCTGCTTCAATAATTACACATCTAACCCAAACATGCACCAGATTATTGCAATGAGCCGCTTCACCGCAGGCTTTCTCCATCCTTTCATCATCATCATCATCTGCTACTCTATCATCATCCTCAAACTTAGAAGCAATAGGATGATAAAATCCTCCAAACCCTTCAAAGTGATGAGCGCTCTCATAGCTGCTTTCTTCATCTGCTGGCTGCCCTACCACGTCTTCGTCCTACTTGAGCTGAACCATCACAAATATGACCACGAGATTTTAGCAGTTGGACTCCGAGTGGGTTCATCTTTAGCCGCAGCTAACAGTTTCCTCAATCCTGTGCTCTATGTTTTCATGGGCAATGACTTCAAGCAGAAGTTCAAGAGCTCCATTCTGTCAAAGATGGAGAAAGCCATTGGCGAGGAGGGCCACACCATCAGCAGATACCTGTCCAGATCCAGCTCAGTGGACGCCAGAGCCTCCACACATATTTAGACTTTACAATCGTCTATTTTTCTCTGAATAATTTTGTTTTAAAATGTGCATTTACACGGTAGTTGTGTAAAAATACTGTCTTTAAATCTAAAATATGAGTATTCATATTTAGTATGAATATTTAGTATATCAGTCCTTTGCACGTTTGTCCCCAGAGACAGCAGAAAGATGGAGCCGAGAGACTCATAAAGTTTAGAACTGGAGGTAATGTGTAAAAATATTACATTTAACTATTTACCTCATCCATCAATGTGTTTTCAGACAACTGTATATTGAAAAATAGCTCAAAAAGTTTAACTCCTGTACATAGAAGAGTGTTTTTTGTAAAATATGGTCTTCAGTATGTGATAGCAGATTTGTATAATCTATTAATGCACTGTCTGAAATTATTAAAAGTACATTCTGACAAAAATAATTTTTGTTATATGCAATAATGTTTTGCTACCCAGCATTAAATCTACACATCAGTCATCATCATTATTGTATCCATGTTTAAAAGGACACACATATTTGAGAATTTTGTTTGTGTTTCCTGACAGATCTTGACAGCTCTTAATTGTTTAGGTTGGTTGTGGAACTTTACTTTTGATTTTTTTTTTTTTTTTTGATTTTAGACTAAATGAAAAGAGAAGCATGAATAAAGTGGGGGTGCTGTAGATGCAATATAAGTTCTAGGAAATATACAAAAGAAACAGGTCATGCTGATTTTCTTGGAACACATTTAAGAACCCCTATGTAATAAAGAGGACATTTTGTGGTTTCATTTACTGACATGGCAATTTTAAGTGTTTATGTGTTGCAACTTTGTGTTTATCCGATCAAATCTATGTTGAACAAAAGTTCACAGTCTAATTTTCTTCCACTCATTTAGAAATGTTAAGAGCCATTAACATGGGACCAAAAACACTTTACAGACCTTATGTACATTTGTTTAAAAGACGTGAATATAGTTTGTGCAATAAAAGTTTCAATGTTGTTCGTTTCTTTTCTTTAGAAATTAGGCTGGCACATTTTTATTTATTTTTTTAAACTAAGAGATAAGTTGCTGTTATGATTGCGGGTGTACCCAGACGAAAGACCAGAACTGAACAGAGACCAGGGCTCAGATAATCGTTTACAGTGTTTATTTACAGAAGTGTTGTTAATAAAGACATCAATGTGAAGGAACGGGAACACCTGGGGAGAGAGCGTGTAATTAAAGGGCTGTTGTTGGATGAGAACTTGTCTTGTTGAATTATTCTTACGGTGGGTAGCAGGAAACAGAATGAGAAGGTTTTTGGGTCCAGATCTCCAGTAGCACAAGGTGAAACAACAAGTAGACAAGGCAAGTGGTGGAAGGTAGTGATGGTAGTATGAAACAAAAGCTTCAAAACATGCTTCGAACTGTGCAGTAAAATTACATCGGAGCACTGCTTCGGAGCTTGTTTTGGTGCGGAAAAAGTCACGTGACACGTGACGTTCGAAACACAAACTGTTTCGTTGTCGGAATGAATCGCTGCCTGGTTCGAGGTCGAAACAGCTGATTCCCTGGCACCGCCTCGTCTCGATTCTGACAGGTGACAGGTTGAGACAGTTTTGAATTGAGAGCGCTCAACACTATGAAACAGCTCTAAAATGTCTCTGCTTCCTGTCCTCTCACCCAGCCGGTCAAAGCAGATGGCCGCTTGTCCTGAGCCTGGTTCTGCTGGAGGTTTCTTCCTTTCAAAGGAGTTTTTTCTTTCCACTGTTGCCATTGTGCTTGCTCAGGATGGGAGACTGCGACGAAGCCCAGATTCAACTTGTCTGCTGGATTCCTTAGATAGAGAACTTTACTAATTGGCTTTTAAGTATGTGAATGTTCCTGTAAAGTGCCCTGAGACAACTTTGTTGTGATTTGGCGCTATATAAATAAACTGAATTGAATTAAAATGTTTGTGTTGGAGAGTAGGTGTGTTTCTGCTGTTAGTAGAAATTGAGTAATTATAGAGGCAGCCAGGAAAAGAGGTTGTTCTAACATGTGGGAACACTTCATTCTGCTCATGATAAGGTGGTTTAAAATGTCAAAAAAAGTTATAATGTTCAGCAGTGAAGATATTATCTAACCCATTTAATCCATGTATTTAATATAATTACAGTAAAATGATGTGTGTGATTTTAATAATATATCAGTATGAGCTCAAATTATTTTTTTAATTTACATTAGTGTATTTGTGCAGGTGCAGTGTTTGGTGTGTTCAACTGAACTGAAGCATCATGATACCTCCTCCATGATTAGACACTTCAGCGCCAAACATGGAGATGCTGGAGATGTAATTTCATTGATATTTTTAAGAATTATGAAGACTCTGACTCTGCCACAGTTACACAAGCACAATACCGTTGCAACATTTTTTATTAAATCTCTTCAATGCACATTTATCAATCTTTATTCAAAAACATGTAAGCATAAATACATTTTCAAACCAAACGTAGAAAGTTGATGAATTTTAAAAATCTGTTGTTTTTTTTACCACAGCAGTTTCTTTAACACTAGTCACTGAAGTTCGGTGTGTGACACCAAAATCATAACGCCTAATTTGACAGCAGCATTGCAAAATGCCACAAGAGGTCCCTGTTACTGAAGCTTCAACAAATGAACCTATTTTTGAAACAATTGGCCCAACTGGTTCAATGCTTGGGCAGCACGGTGGCGCAACTGGTAGAGCTGCTGCCTCTCAGCGAGTAGGTCCCTGGTTCAAACCCCAGTCCAGGGGCCTCCTAGGTGGAGTTTGCATGTTCTCTCCGTGCATGCGTGGGTTTTCTCCGGGTGCTCCGGTTTCCTCCCACAGACCAAAAACATGCATGTTAGGCTGATTGGTAACTCTAAATTGTCCCTAGGTGTGAGTGAAAGTGTGAATGGTTGTCTCGTTTGTCTCTATGTGGCCCTGTGATGGACTTGCGACCTGTCCAGGGTGTACCCCGCCCCTCACACAGTGACTGCTGGACATGGGCATCAGCGACCCCGGTGACCCAAAATGGAATAAGTGGGTAAAGATAATGGATGGATGGATGGCTCAATGCTTCATAAAAGCTTCAGGCATACAGCAGCAATAGAGAGGCAGGAGGAGTCAAAGCTCAGATGGGACTCAAGCAGTGCAGGTAAACAGCAAGATCCAAACTCTGAGGAAGCGCAGAGGAAAAACACAATATTAGTTTCTACTAATATCAGCGATAAACTGGCCAGAACACAACTACGGTTGGTAGGCAATGTCCCAGTGCCTGCAGAGTGGTTTCTGAAGCTTCTTATACTCCTCCTGGTTGTTGTGTTGATCATCTGCAGTTGTTGCCAATTAGGAGTGTAGAGGAGAGAGGAAGGCAGGGTGCAGGGCAGGACTCCTACAGTTGCATTTTAAAGCTTTGAATACGCAAACTAAATTAATTTGAGCTTATTTGTAATTTATTAAGGAAAGCTGCAGTACCAGTTCAGGAAACAACTGTGACACCTGAGATTTATTCCAGATCAATAACATGGTAGACATTGTTCAATCTGATATATTTCATTGTGATAAGAGAAATGAAAGACTCAGACTGATGGATGGGTTTTAGACAGACACCTCATAACTCAAAACCTATCGTGCGGTCAATCTTGGTGACCTATTTTTGCTGCAAAACTTCCTGCCTTGTTTTACTGCAGCGCTGCTGCCCCTGCAGCACCCACACTGCTGCTGCTTATGTAGAGAGAGACACGTGATGTTCTCATCAATCTATGATCAGGTTGGGCTACATGATCATGCCCAGATGACAAATTCAAATTATAATCCACAACTAAGCTTTAAAAACAGAGTTACAAGGCTAATTTGATTTGTCTAAATTAAACTTTGAACAGAGTTAAGTCAAAAAGTTGCATTATTTCATATAAACTTGACCATGTATAAAAGAAGGGCAACAGGAAGGAATGATCTCTGCAGCTCCCATCAGCTCTGCAGTATGTCAGTTTTTCTTGTGCCTCCTCTTTCAACCCTGTGTTGAGCCTCCTCCCTCCCAAAAAACAATGCAATAAAATTAAAACAGCAGAGTATTTTGATATATTTTATTTATGTACCAGTTTATCTAAAAACAACATAAAACATACCCAACATCTAACAACTGATAATAGTTTCTCCATGGTTGCTTAGTGTGTAAACAAGTAACTGCATGCTTGCCAAATTACTATGTAATGTCTTTAATGGTGATAATAACATTGGATTTCATTATTAATGTCTTAACGCTAAAAATCCAGCTACATTAATATTTTCTCTTCATGAGAACATAGCATTCAAACACAGTCATTACAGCTGACCTTTACTTTGTCTTAATGTTTGCAAAAAACAAAATGAAAAAAAAAAATCCTCAAATGAGGATGTTCAAGGCACGCAAATATTTCATTTATGTTTTTACACTTATCTTTTTGGACTGCTTTTGAAGTTCTCTTTCCATTCTTCTTTTTGTTTTTGACTTTTTTTTTCATTTAGTTGTACATGGGTACCAGGTGTGAAACATGATGCCAAAAACACAATATATGCTGGAGTGACATACATATCAGAAACCATATGAGTGCTGTAGCTGTATCTGAATTAGTGTGTAGAAAATATTAACCCAAATGTGATCCATGTAGCCGTAATGTCTTAGTTTCACCAGTTATAATAGCAGCAATGTCATTAAATCGTATGCCTTTAAAAAGGCTTTAGTGGCAGTCATGATTAGAGCCGACTGAAAGCCTAAAATAAAGGAGCTTCAGTGCTTCCTGTCTAATCTCCTTTAGCAAAAGTTGCTTTGGACGTTTTTACAAATGGAGAGAAAATAATGCCACATTTCCTTTCACTGCAAAACACAAAGCTGTTTTAGACTTAGCAAAATGAGTTGGCATTTATGTTAACAAATATAGGCAAGAGAATGAGCGGGATCAACATTTTGTTTTATGTTTTGTGTCTTAGTAAGACACAAGTCGTGTGCAGTAAGATTCACTTTGCCCAACTGCTGCCTCTTCTTGAAGCATTTCTCTT